CCATACTTTTACTGTAAAATCATTTCTAAGATAAAGTTTTACTGACCTTGTGATCCTAGCATGTAAACTGTCATTCTGCTTCCATCTTGAACTTTATTGTAGTATCCAACTACTTCATTAGAGTGCAGTAGGAGAGGCCCATCTACCAACTTGTTGAAGCTGCTATCTTCCATAAACAGGCGGCCACTGCGTGATGTTAATGTCAATTCTACAAATTTGACAGATCCCTTCTCAGGCAGTGTAACCTTTCTTGTGCCTTTATACCGTCCTTTTGCAATGGGATGGCACTGAGATGGAATTTTTTTACTGTGATTTTTACAGAATTCTTTAAAAACCCTTGTTTTTAGGTCTTTATGACAGACTGGCAAAAAGACATGGCATTCTTTTTGGAGAAAGAATACACCATCTGTTGCATGTTTTATGGTACAATGTTTATCTCTATCTGGTTTAGTAAAGCGGTGGACTTTTATCTCAGTTTCTACCAAATTGCTCAATTTCAAATTTTCATGACAGCAAAAATATATAAAAAACTTTGTTTTCTCATGTTGTTCCAAGATTGTGTCATCTTCAAATAACTTCTTAAAATTCTCATCATTAGCGATAATACAACCATTCAGTTCCAGTGGCTCCTGCTTGTCTTTAAGAGTCAGTATTATTGAAGCTGATCCTTCAGTTCCATCTGCAGGATGAGGTCGGCCGGATCCTATCCCATCTTCAAATGGCATTTTCTTGGCCTTTCTTCTTTAACTTACTGATATTCAGATAAACTCCTGAAATAAAAAGCAGGACTGATGTTTAGTTTTGTAAATAATTCACCAAAAAATAATCTAAGTTATTAATAAATCAATAATAAACATTAAATAAAGAAAACTGTCTCATTTTCTTTCTTTGCTTTAAAACTCTGTTCAAAATATATTGAAAAAACTCCATGTTATTAATGTTTGATTCTATAAATATCAATAATTAATCAATTCAATCAAGTTTTGTTGGCATGATACTTGAATGATCACATTAAATTTTGATAAAAAATTTATCTCAATTTTTAGCAATTTATGATAGCAATGGATAAAGAAATGTGTAATATTATGGATATGGATTTATATTGATATTAATTTTTATTGATTMSCTAATATAATAATATGATGTTCCAATCTCTCTTCATATACAAACCAAAACTTAAAGCTACATACCAAAGTCTTCAAATTTGTGTCCAAAGGTAGTTAACCAAGGAGAACTTCACATTCAAGCGAGATTTATCATCAAATCATGACACAGCAGTTGTCCATATACTCAGACAGTCGTTGGTTGTAGATAACAGCTGATATCAGAGCCTTTATTCTTCACTTCCAATAAATGTGGCCTATTAAACCCAGAATTTCTTTCATTATTATACATARCTTTAAGAAATCAAGTTAATTTAAGCACACTTCTTACCCAAACTTTGTCTGCTTGCTTGAATACTTTGTTGAAAGTTTTCTGTCCTGCTGTGCAGCTATGCGATCAAGGGTGTGTTAATGATTGACAGGTTCCTAATAAGGTAAGGGTGCATATTGATTTACGATATTTCCTTCTAGAAGATTCTGTGTATTTGTTTTTTAGCATTTTTGTAAATAATGTAATTTTTATAATATGACTTTTAGTAAGATATTTATGCAGGTATGTTTTCAATAGATTGAGCAAGGGTCGCAAATTTTATGAAAATATTTCACACAGTTTCAAACTCGAGCGAGATTTGGCTTTCGACAACAGCTGATATCGTTTAAACTTCGCTAGCTTGTTCTTCACTTGCAATAAATAAAAGATTTCTTTGATTATATCTTATAAATTAAGTTAAGATGCTTACAAATGCGATAATTTAAGCACGCTAGTTACCCGAACTTTGTCTGCTTGCTTGGCTTCGTCGAAGTTTAATATGCAGCTGGTATCGTTTAAACTCGGCTCCTTATAATTCACTAGCAATAAATGTGAGCTAAAACCCAAGATTAACCTCAATATATCTTGGAAATCAAGTTTAAATGCTTGTAAATGCGATAATTTCAGGAGATTCTGACACTACTTACAGAAACTTTGTCTCGGTTGCTCGAAATAGCTTCACTTCCTGCTGTGCAGTCCCATGATCAAGGGTGTGTTAATGATTGACAGGTGCCTTATAAGGTGAAGACGCATTTTGATTAGGGAAATTTCCCTCACGTGATGATTGCTTTTAGCAGAAGATTGTTTATTTTTAA